AGCATTCACATTCAATGGTTTGTGTTTGGCATGTGTGTGCGTCCACTGTGCATTCAATTTAAACATTTATTATATAATATTCTTCGAGACTTTATTACTCATAAATGGATTTTGAAACGAAGTGTAAGGATTATTTGTAGTGCTTTAGTCAGACTTTGGTCACGCCGCACACGAATATTATACACATTGAAGTGATGTGTTTTCATATTGAAAAGTTTTGCCACAAAAGCAGAAACTTCGTTGTATTCTTTTGTTTTTCAATGCTTTAACATTAAGTACTTCGGTTTAATTTGAGCGCTTGTTTGTAGATTTCGATTTAGTGAATGTGAAAAACGATGGTAGAGTTTTTCAGTACTCATGAGTGAATATGTATTTCGGTTGATATAATAAATGTTGAAAGTCATAATTTTCCGGATATTGTTTTTCGTATGCATGCATGTGTATGTGTTTGTGCGCTGTGCAATGTGATTCGGGCAAGCGTAAAAATACGAAGCGTTGCCAATGCATAACAATAAGAAAAGTTATAAATTCAAGCGTTTCGATATGTGAAAACACAAAAGCCGACCAAGTTGGATTTATCGAAATTGTTAGGGCCGTTAATGCTGTCACTTGCACACTCACTTCCACACATGGTGAACACGGAGAAGGAAGAGAAAAAAAAATAAACTACAGACAAAAGACTCTTTCCCACAATCACGTTTATATGATGCATCAAAATTCGAGATTCCATACAAACTTTCTGAAATGATTCTTTTTGATGAAATAAAATCTGTTTCATTACAATTGCCGGTGAGTTGGTTGAGGATGTTTCCAGAGAATAGCACCAAAGTTCCAACATATTCATATTCGAGTTTCGTGAAGCTGGTGTGCGTATTAAAGCGTATTTTTAAAAAAAAATTAACGAACAGACTGTGAGAAAATTATGCTTTTGTTACATAAGCCACCAACTGTAAGCTTCAATAAAAGTATGTTTCAAACAAAATTTGTGTATTTGTGTGTATGAACGGCAAACCGAATCAAGTTGATTTTCTCATTGTAAATTTTCAAACATCTACCCACCGATATATCTACTTCGGAAAACATGATATTTCAATAAAATACAAACTTTTGATGATGATGGTTGAATGTGTGTCTGTGTATGTGATCATCATCTCAAAAAGTTTGTGCATTTTGTGCTCATATGAAAACATGATTAACTACTTATTAAAATGGAGTGCAAGCAGCCAGAGTCAGTTTAAAATATGCACCTGCTCCTTTAGTTCGTTTGTGCATTTGGCGGGTCTTTGATATGCATAGAAAACTGGAATGGAAAATCTGTTTAGTGGATTTATGTAACGTGTGCAGTGTGAATACTGAATCTGCTTTTAGTTTCTTTTCAATTCATTGTATGCCTTCAGCCTTCATGTGAGTTCGGTTCTCAATGCTCTTTTCTTTCAAATTGACGTCTAGTTCTGTTTATTTCAAGCATTCACAAAGAGATACATCAATACAAAACATCGAATGATGCTTGCATCATTTGATGCGCATCGCTAGTGGTGTTGTTGTGCGTTCGGAGCACTTCGTGCGACACAGCACTAGCGATGCGCATCAAATGATACAAGCATCATTTGATGTTTTGTATTGATGTATCTCTTCGTGAATGCTTGGTTTATTTGCATTCTAAATTCATTTGCTTACGCCAGAATGAGCTGAACTTGTGATTGTGTATGCAGCGAGGGAAAACTTTCTTTGTCAAATGCGAATTCGAACAGCCTATATATTTTCCAGGTTATACAATCCGAAATGCATTCATGCGTTTTTTTTATTCTCAAACTCTTGTTTCTTTATGGATTTCCAATTCAACTTTGTTTGCAAGTTATGACGTTACTTTTTGAATCGGTTTTCTTCATTCGAACGAACGAACGAGGGTGTGTAATAAAAGGTCCACTGGGAATATTTTGCACGTTTTTTTCTCTCTCGCAACGCAAATGAGTTTCCGAGTGACGGTTCGATGCTTTCATCATTTGACCAATCAATACGTTGTCATCAAGTTGAATAACGTCAAACCGCGTCTTGATCAGAATGCTCGAGGAACCAATATCGTTTGGTATTGAGGCTTTTTACCTGTGCAATGATTTCCGTTTTGAGCTTTATTCGTTTGTACCATGATTAATGAACATCATTGAAATATTGTGTTTATTCGTGTTCATTTGATCCGCCATGTTATTTAACTTCATTGTAGTGATTGATGCAACCGAAAAATACTCAACTGAAATTGAGCTTGGTTTGTGAAGAAAACGAAATCGAACAGAAAAGCTTGTTAAAATTGTGCCACTTTGTAAAACTATCGACTCACCGGCAAACCAATCACAAGAGATTGAAAAAACGAGAGAAAAATCTAGTCTATTAAAGTCTTTGATTACATGCAAACATACTTCGGTTTTTGTTTGACCATACAAAGTAAAATAAAAATTGCATTTAAAAGTTTTCGAAAAACCGAACGCATATTATGGAAAACTTGGTGAATGTTTAACTCACTCACTGCCCCGTTGCAAAGATATAATCTTATTAAAAACTTTAATTTTATTTATCTTTTTAATCAGATTTCACACTTTCATCCGAATAGCCATAAAGTCGAGGTCGGCAATTTTACTGTTGAACATCAGAACGAACTCTTTCTCGTTGTGTTGGTGCATTAAGATGCGGCCAATTATTAGTGATGAAAGTTTCGGCAATATGCTTGCACCGAAAAATAACATCCGACAACTATTGAAAGCAAAGGAGTGAACAACCAAAATTGGAAATAATATTACATATTTAGCATGTCCTCTGTAAGAGATGGTATATAAGTCTCTTCGCATACGTCAGTCAAGCGCATATAGTATAATCCATTAAGTTTTGTAAAAGAAGAGTTGTCTGTTGTTTGGTTCATATTTCGTCTTGGTAATGGTGAAGTTTTTGCTCATATTTATGCTGTAACCCAATTCATTTTTCATTGAAAAAATGAAATGTTACGATGAAAGTAAATTAATAAGTTTTAAGATTCTTACATTGAGTATGAACGAATTAAACTTCACATGAGAAAGTAAACTTTATTGATGCTCACCTTTTACAAATACAGCGAAAATTACACTTCGATAGGAAATATGGAAGATATTATTTTAAGTAGTGCGGAGGGGCGGGGGTGAGGATTTTAGGTATTGATCACATAAATGTTACTTAAAACGTTTCTCTTGGAAATTATAATTTTGAAACCATCCTATCGGCAAACTTGATCAAAACGTCGCAAATTATGCGATATTTTGCAACTTGTATGCGTATTATTTGCAAGCGAAATTTCCATGTTTATTTTAGTCGTTGTGAGATAGATAAGACTGCACTATTTTATGTACTATGACAACCACAATGAAAACGCACAATGGCTTCATTAACATTTAAAATTATTTGTTTTTTCGGTAAAAATTCATAATTTCAAATTTTATATTCATACATTTTTTTTATTTTTGATTGACGCATACGTTAAATGGGAGCTATTTGCAAATCTAAATATCAATATCTATCTATCTATTTTCATTGTATAATTCGACGGAGTGCACAATGTTGGAATAAGTGTGATTTTTGATACTCGAAACCAGCTCGAATTTCTATTGAAAGATGCTCTCTTAAAATGAATCTCTGTTGTATGTTAAAAAACAACTATCCATGAGTATGAATTCGGGAAGAGAAAACAGTGAATTGTTTATTGCGTTGAATGCATCACAACTGTGAAATTATAATTTTCTCACTCAAAATATTTGGTGTTCAGATATTTCCAAAAAAAAGAGAGAAAGAGATGGAATAGAAACACTGCATAAATGGAAGGCATTAAAATTTATTCGTCGGATGTAGAAGCGCCAGTGCATAAATTCTGAAAATGCATAAGCAAATGAGTAAGAGTGAGAATGCAAACTTTGTATCTCTCGATTTTTATGTGAAAGCCTCAGCATGAATTCTGGGTTATCACAAAACACATATTTACGATTCATGGCATGGTGGTATGAGTGGTATATACATCTAATGAATTTTTGCAGGGTGTAATTGCAAATCGTTCTTAATTGCAACATTTCGAGTATAAACGTAACAATGAAACTGGTCTATTTGAAATAATGAGTTCTATCAGCTGAATTGAATTTTCGGAAAAAAAGTTCAAAATGCGACAAGAAACTGCGTTCAATAGAAAATAATTTTTGAAAAACCCTGTGAAAGATTCACTGTACACTTACAAATGAACGCAAAAATCGCTGTGACAAATTATACAAGCAATTTGAAATGCGAGCATTTATTTATTTATTTATGAGAAACTGTACAAATGCGAAGAAATATTTTAAACGGCATTCGAACACAAAAACGTTTTCCATTTATTATGGAAAACACAGAACTCTCTTGATCACCTCTTTCCCGCTCTTTTTCCCATAGACAAAACAATAAATTGAAATATATATAAATGAAATGAAGCCATGCAATTTGCAATGTAAAGACAGGCAAATTACTCAATTCCATAGTGGAAATGGGAGCGTATGAGACAAAATAGACATAAAGCTCTCTGAATTATGCTACTAACAATATTATTTCTCACAAACATTTGCATTTTTTTATTTGGCTAGTAATAATAAACTTCATTTGCATAAATTAAACATATCAAGGGATACACACATACAAGAAGGACTCGCACAATTTGAATATTCTGTTTGCTGCTACGGCTTCTATAAATTGCAGGCAATTTGGTATGTTTATTTTGGTATACTATTTATCATGACTGTTTCACCATTTTAATTCCACCTGACTGAGCTTCTTCATACAAAATTTAATGTTCGAAATTGAACTAATGATTTTCAATGGGAATCTCTGTATTTAAATTTCATTTTCACACATTCACATCCACCACTAACCTATTTGCGAACAAATTCCATTTGGAATCAATTCTACTCACAGTCGAACAGTTTGGAATAATTTTGCTAAACGCGTGTTTGCATTTTGATTACCTTTTTTTCATTTTTGGTGTAAGCATTTCTATTAATGTCCAAATCCTTCTGATACATACCTAAAACAAAAAAAGAGAAGATTGCTTGAAATTAGTACGAACATTTCATAAATTTTTAGTGCGAGATAAAACACACAGTGAATGTAAGCCAATAACCAGATTATTTTATTTCTGTTCAAATGCTCTGAAATAGCCTAAACCAAACAAAAAAAGAGAAATTATATGCACTGTGCGAATATGTGCAAGCGCATCACAGCAATATGATTTTCTCTCAGTTGGTTTTTCATGGATGCGAATATGTTTTATATTTATTATTACGCAAATACAATGTTAACCCGCAAAATAGGCACAAAAGCATACTTCCATGCTTAAAATATTTGGAAACATTTACAAGCTTCCAACGTATTAAAATACCCACATGGAAACCATAAAATAATTTTTTTTTTTTCATTTATGAAAACTGGCATGCGTGTCATATGATTATGAGCTTGAATATGCTAGTTTCAACATTGCTCTGCATCAATTCAATGGATATGCCAATTTGTATTCATTAATAAGTACATGCGAACATATCAGCCAATTTGTACTGTGGAATGAATGGAAAATGTATTGAAATTCAGTTGAACCAAATAAAAATGATAATAATGCAAAATATATATTTATATTGCGGTGGTTTATATTGCGTGGAAGCGATTCCTATATTTTGGCTCACAAGAGAATTTGAAATTTCAATTTCTATGGAACACAACATGAATTTTGCAAAATCATTTTTTTTTTATCACAAACGAATTAAATGAATGGCGCCATTTGAGGCATAAAACCAATTTAGTTGAATGTTTTCGATTGATCATAGTTTAGTTAAGCATGTCATTATTTAGATGTTTTTGGCAGAAAATTTAAAAGTCATTTGATTTTTTTAAAAAAATTCTATTGCGTAACCTTTTCAAAAAGTCTTTGAAGTTCTTTATACGATTGATGAAATGGGATTTTCTTTTTCGACGATAAACTTGTGGCTGTTGCCATTTACCCTTTTTGATTGCCGGATGTTTGTGCAAACGGTTAAGTAAAGTAAAATGAGCGACTTTCGAGTACATGTAAATATACATACACATATCAATAGAATTATAATATGAATTTGAGTAAAATGTGTGGACACACAAAATCATTTCTCGTGTTTTTTTAAGAACATTTTATTGCAGATTTTCTTTGCTTTGGTACTAAAACACATTCTTTTTTCACATTCGCACTTATATTCGCAAAAGAATCCTTATTTATTTACAAACTTTTTTTGCTTTATGAAAAGTTAAAAAAGAAAGAGGGAGAGAGAAACCGTTTGCGTTCAAACGACTAATCCATTTGCAAGGGCAATTATTGAAAGAATAAAGTAAATCAAACGCCATCAAATGGGCCTTTTGAGTGAATGGCACAAATATTTTCCAATCTTTGATTTGAGCACATATCAAAGCATTTCGAAATAAATAAACGAAAATTCAACTCAAATCACATCGAAGCAATCAAACGAAATTATAAAAGTTTGATTCCATTTATGGCTACAAGTTATTTCGTATGTGTTAACTTTATGTTCTCATAAATGCAAGAGGTTTGTTTCACTTTTCTCCACTGTTTCGGTGTAATATTGTCGGCGCAAAATCCCATTCGTAAACATTCATAAATAACCGTAAATATTTATTTGAATTGTTATGCTTCTATCTCGTGTTCGATTTGGATTTCTTGTGTCAATTGTTCGGTTTTTTGTAGGTTGTTTGTTGGGGGAATGTCGTATTATTATATCGACGATATAAACAAATGATATGATCAATGACGTCGTATTTATCGTGGTAAAATTGCGCGTCAACCACAATAAATAGATAAATATTGATGAAAAATATTTAAACGTTTTATCGTAAAAAGATATTTTGCTGTTATTCATATTGTTGCCGATGATGCTGTTATCGAATGGTTCAGCTGCAATCAATGTAAATGTAATAGTCGAATGAAGACGAGCGACGAAAACTGATTCGCCAATTTTTGAAACATTTTCACATCGACACCACCTCCCCCCCCCAGCATGCACCATATTCACTGTAATCCTAATCCATAAGAGAATGATTCCCCGCAAAAACCATCGAATGCAAATTCACTGCTATTTTATTTATTTATTTTTTTCGTTCTTTTTCTTTGCAAGTGTTCAAAAGTGGAAGAGATTCGATTCTGTTGTTGGTTGGATTTTCGCGTAAAAAAAGAGTTAAATAAAAAGAAAAGCTTAAGTTTATGCGGCAATTTTGTTGCAAACATTCCAATATTCGTTCATTCCAAGTGACTATTTGTGTATATGTATTGCATGTGAGTGTGTATGAGCACGTATTACTTCAATGCTGAATGAACGTGCAGCCCCAAAATTCAAGCTTCTTTTTTTTCTTTCAACAATGTTTAAGATTTTTTTTTTCGCCGACATCGTCTTCGAATTTTTCGTTTTAACAGCGTGCGATATCGCAATATTGCATATAAGGCTGTGCTTTAAACGGGCTTTTGACAATAAATGAAAATTCAGTATATTTCTTATTCTTCTTCTTCTTCGTCTTCCATTTGATCGCATTCGCTCCGCTTCATAAAATCTAAACTGTTGTGAGCACACATGAACATAAGAAATAACAATAAAAGCAAATATCCATATATTGACACCCGAACATTTTTCAATGGCTGGTGTTGCTGAATTTACAAAAATTCACATCAGTTAAGTACAGAAACGATAGTAAAATATATTCACACCAATCCAACAGCGCGCGAAAACGATATTAACATTTTAGCATTTTCCATCAATTGGAAAAACGGGAAGACATGAGCCATATCTGTTGTTAACGTATTTGATGTATGTGTGTGTGAGAGAGAGAAAAAAAAGAGGAGCTGCTGATGATCTGGATGTTTTTTCTAATAAAAAAACAAGACTCGGAACGAGATAAATGTCGGTGATGAGTCTGCACTTGTTTATGCATTCAAATGATAAAGCGAAAAATCAACTTTTTGGATAAAATTGGAGAAAATAAAATCCATTGTCAGACCGGAATTTGAATGATAATGCATTTTAATGATAAATTTTATCGTCAAATCTTTTACAAAAGAATATCCCATATTTTTCGCCAGATTAGCACCCACATACACACACAAGTGAATCAAGCGGATTAAATTTTGATATCATACGATTTTTGATGTCAAAAAAAAAAAACGCCGAAAGGAAAAAAATAAATAAATATGTAAGATATTTTCAAATCATATCGTAGAATTACAACGACAAAAAAAGAGGAGTGAAGAAAATCGTACAGCATCGTACGCATAGCGAAAGAAAAAGTGTTATTTTTCCACATTTTAATCCAATTTTAAGCATAGCTGAAAATTCCACACCGATTCAATGGAATTTAAGCAAACTCCAATATTTGCATACACACCACTGGATTCCATTGTGTTGCGTGTCAAAGTTTTTCGAATAAATTCAAGGGAGCAACAAAAAAATAACAACATCAACAAATATCGAGCAAAATAAATTGTGCCTTTTGCTATATGCCACGCCGCACCGTTATATAATATGCGGTAAAAATAGCACACTTCACGATTTTGTGGTGGTTTGCTATAACCGAGATTGACATCGACTTTTGAAGTATAAGCGAAAAAAATGCGCAGCATGTAGCGTCTAAAGCTTTGAAACAGCAACACCACATAGCCTAAACAATAATTTGGTAATCGTCGATACAAAAAAAAAACAACAACAACGTTTGCTTTGAATTCAAACAACAAAGTGTTTCTTTTTTTCCGTATGTTTTGATGCGTGTGTTGGCATTTCAAAGCATATACACCATATTTGATCAGATTTTGCGGCAAATTTTCAGAAGAATTCGTCTTTTTCACTGAAATCTGAACTGTGCATTTTTGTGTTCCACATCACATCGGTAAATTCACACAATTTTATTCGTTTCTCTTGAGGTTTTAACGCCAGAAACACCACTGCCAACAAAATTCTCCCCCAATATACCATTTCTAATAAACTGGCTCCGTACACACACACACTTCAAACAACCGCAGATACATCCAAACACTTTTTTTTTGTGGCCGTTTTGGTAACATCAAGGAAAAAACCACCTTGAGCATTAATTTATTGCTAGACTTTTCTGTTTTAGCACGAATTTGATAATTCAATTTAAAAGTTGAGTGAAATTCCGGACGAATAAAAACCGCATCAAATATGTTTGAATGTGTGTTACACACACTGCGATTTTATTTTTGAATGAAGTTTACAAAAATATTGGAGAATGCGAGAAAAATCTCAACACATTATTTGATTAAAAGTGTTTGTTAATTTTTGGTTTTGCCGGAATCCCTTCGTATTATGCGGATGAAAACTTTCAGATAAAACTGGAACTCTCGTTTGATCGATATTTGAACCATTGCATAATTCATCAGCCCACGTATTTTATCTCGTTTACTATGCGATTAAAGAGTATATGCTTTACTTTTTCTTTCAGTAATTGCACATTCGATTTTATCAATTTAGCTAGAGTTATGGTTGAAGCTGATTATAATTTCAAAAAAAGCAATTCATTTTCGGAACATCATGTTCACTTAAAAAAATGCGCTTCTTTAATTTAATAATACAATATGTGAACAAGTGATTAACTTTCACATCCATTTAGATAATAACTCAAATTAATTTCATTTTCATGAGATGTAAATTCTTTTATAAGCTTCAATGAATTTCAAGGTATTTCATTTATTCCATGAACATATTTCTTCTTTTTTTTGTTGAAAACTTTCCTAAAAATGGAAAGCAATGTCTCAGAAATTACGAGAAACATACAAGTATATGTTGCTGTTTCTTCGCCGAGTTATATTTTTTTTTATTGCAGAATGTATCATTTAGACGAAACTTTGTAATGTGAATTCGTATGGAAACGATCTAGGACATGTGAAATTACAATATATTTGGAAATGGAAAAACTGAAGAAGTGAAGAATGTGTATATTTTCTATTTCACAGTTGAGTGAATACTTTTGAAACATCTGCTTCTAAGA